AAAAAGGAGAGGGGTGAGGTGCAGGTGTGTTCTTTTGCTCCCGGGAATTAGGGAGAGAGAGAGAGAGAGAGAGAGAGAGAGAGAGAGAGAGAGAGAGAGAGAGAAGAGGGAGGGGGAGAGGGAGAGGGAGAGGGAGAGGGAGGGAGAGAGAATAATTCAAATTTCAATGTCCATAAATAAAGTTTTATTGGCATGTAGCCAAGCTCATCTGTTTATGTATTGTCTGTGGCTGCTTTTGTGCCAAAGTGGAAGAACTGAGTAGTAGAGCTCAAAGCCTAAAATATTTACTATTTGACTTTTCACAGAAGAAATCTGCCAATCCTTGATCTAGAGAAAGAAAGGCCTGAGAGAATAATTCAAATTTCAATGTCCATAAATAAAGTTTTATTGGCATGTAGCCAAGCTCATCTGTTTATGTATTGTCTGTGGCTGCTTTTGTGCCAAAGTGGAAGAACTGAGTAGTAGAGCTCAAAGCCTAAAATATTTACTATTTGACTTTTCACAGAAGAAATCTGCCAATCCTTGATCTAGAGAAAGAAAGGCCTGTAAATTGACAATTACTGGTATGTGGCGGGGAAAGGATGCTATTGGCAAAGAATGAGAAAGGACTTGGGTTTGCCTCGGAGGCCAGTACAGTTTCTAGTAGGTGGTAACTTTTGAGCTTAGTCTTGAAGCAGGAGTGTGAGTTGTCGGGTAGACAATGCAACAGCATGTGGTAGGTTTGGAGGAATATAAAAAAGTTAAGATGGAAGTGAACTGAAGCTTTGTTTGGGCAAAGCATTGCCATCGTAGCTTATGAGACTTTTAAAAGCCTTTGAGGCAAGGGGCCATTTTTAAAGGTAAAAAGGAGGATTTCAAAAGATATCCCAAGACAATTCTGTATGCTTGTCAGAAGTTAATAACAAGGTTTCATAGACAGTTGCTAAGCAGATGTCCTTGAAGAAGTACTTCCTGTGTGAGATCACTGAAGCTTTTGTGTAAGGGTATGGTCCTGGCAGAGTTTTTGACAGTGACTATTAGGCTGTTTTAGTTTGCCACTCTGTTGCTGTGATAAAACACTGACCCAAACAAACTTCTGAGAGGAAAGGTTTATTTCATCTTATATTTCCAGATAACAGTTCATCTCTGAGGGAAATTAGGGCAAGAACTCAAGGCAGGAACTTGGAGGCAGGAACTGAAACAGAAACCATGGAGGAACACTGCTGACTGGCTTGCTCTCCTGGCTTGCTCAGCTTCCTTTTTTAATTTATTATTTTTATTTTATGTGTATATGTGTACTGCCTGCATGTATGCAAGTACACCAGTGCCTTGCAATGTCTGTGGAGGTCAGAAGAGGTCGTGGGATGCCTTGGAACTGGAGTTATGGACGGTTGTTAGCTGCAATGTGGGTGCTGGGATTGGAACCTGGGCCTTCTGCAAGAGCAGTCAGTGCTGTTAACCACTGAGTCATCCCTTCAGCCCCTTGGCTGCTTTTCTCATATAGCCCAGGTCCACCTGCCTTAGGAATGGTATCACCTACAGTGGGCTGGACCCTCCAGCATCAATCAGCAATCAAGAAAATGCCCCACAGACATACCCACAATCTGATGGAGGAGATTCTTCAATTGAGATTCCCTCTTCCCAGGCATGTCTAAGTTTGTGTCAAGTTGACCAAAGCTGTGACACAGGCTTTCATGAGTGAGAACCCATCCTTTGCAATCTTCTGGCTTTATGTTTTTGACAGTGTTGACCCAAGTGCTTCCATTCTGATTTTGACAACTTCTACCGTGTGCAAATGTACAGAGGCAAGAAAGAACCTGGATGTTCTCAGAGTAGCAGGAATGCAGGATGGGGGTACACCAGGACAACTGGGAGCTGAGGCCCCAGATGTCATGAAGGACCCAAGCTTCATAGGTTTTGAAAATCTTAGATACCAAACCAAGATCTTGGGCTCTCTGCTGAGGGAAGTGTGACTCCATGGGAGAGTTTGAAGTAGGGGAGTGGCAATGTCTAATTTAGGTTGCAGAAAGACCTCTCTGGTGGAACAGTCTGGAGAACAGATTGGCAGGGGAAAAGAGAGGCGGGGAGGCTAGTTAGGAGGCTGTTACCCCAGTAAGAAACAGAACACCACAATTCAGGGGTAACCATGAGATGGAGAGGAAAGCATGCATGGTTGAAAATCAGGAGGTGGAGCTGTCAGGACTTGGGAATGGTTGGATATGGGGAGGAACTCTCAGACTCTCAGGGGGTCCAGGTGCTATTGAGTCTGTTTATGTTGCTCAAAATGTACCTCCAGGATTGGGGGCAATGATGGAACACAGTAGGTGCTCAATAAAAGCTGGCTAAGGAACTTGGAGGAGAGTTTGAAGGGAGGAGGGTCAGGCAAAGAAGGGCTCCAGGTGTCAGGGGAGGGAGAGTTTCAAGTAGACAGACCCTTTCTTGTGAAAGTGGGACAGTGACAACTGTCCACTAGCTGAAGACTGGCCAGTGGATGTTAGGCAAAGCAGTAGGCTGTAGAGTGAAGGTGGGTCTCAGCCTGGAGGGGGTTATGAGGGTGGGAGGCAGAAGGCTTTCCACATGGACGGTGCGTTTAGTCACTTTCCCATCCTGGTGACAAATGTCCGAGAAATCGACTTAAGGAGGAAAAACTTACCTTGGCTCATGGTTCAGAGGTTTCAGTCTGTGGTCGACTAATCTCATCGCTGTGGGCCTGAGGTGGAGGCAGAATGTAGTGGTGGGAGTGTGTGGCAGAAGAAAGCTGCTCATACTGTGGTGGCCAGGAAGCAGAGCATACCAGAGGAAGGGTCTGGAGACAAGATATACTCTTCAAAGATAGGCCCCCAGTGACTTATTTCCTCCAGCTAGGCACCACCTAAGTCCATTTAGTTATGAACTCATCAGTGGATCAACCCCATTGATGAAGTCAGCACTCCCTGGCCAGTTACGTCTCAGTGGCACCACTAACAGAGGACCAGGCTTACTGCACTTGTGTCTGTGGAGTGCACTTTGTATTTGAACCATAGTCGACAATAAGTCTTCCCAGTGATGATGGTGCACTTAAAAGGAAGGAAACTTTCTCTCAGGCTGAAGTCCCCAGTGAACTTGGGAGGACAGAGGTGACAGGGATAGTAGACACACAGTGAGAGCTTCTGGGTGGTGAGCATCATGAGTTTCGCCCAGTGGGATGGGTGGGAGACTAGAGTGATGAACTAAAAGTACTCCTGGGTCAAGAAGGACCATTCTCTAAACTGGGTTGGGACTTCTGGGGAGCTCTCAGACCAGCCCGCAGGAGGAACGGGGTGCTTGGTGAGCCCAGAACTGGCCTTCAGCTTAGGACCTGGAACTGAACCTCCTTATCTACAAAGGGATACTTGGCTGCACCGTCACATAACCTGTGTGTAGTACTGTCTGAGGTGGGGTCAGTAAGTAATGTGGCCATTCCTGGGTAGAGCACTAGAGCCCAGTCTCAAGCCTGGGATGGGTTCCCAGCCCAAGGTAGACTGGTGGCTTGGAGTCTGAATGTTGATGAAGGGTCCCTCAGCAGGAGATCCCTGGATGCCTTCTAGCCAGGGAGCTGCGGCCTCCCTCCCTTTCTACCAATTGCCTTGTGTTTCAGTGCTTCATCAAAATTAGTGCAGCATACGGCTCCACGAAGGACATCTCCGTCTACAGTGTGCTGGGCCTGCCAGCCTCTCAGATCTTCATTGTGGGCCGGCCCACTAAGAAGTACCAAACCCAGTGCCAGGTGTGTGGGGGCTAGGGAAAGGGGTGGGGTGGGGGAGTAGGCACCTCATTTAGTCATCCAGTCACTTGGCAGCCCACTCCTTCGTTTGTTAATTCCTCCTTCTGTCCCTCCGTCCCTCCCTCTCTCCCTCCTTCCTTTCCCTTCCCCTCCCTTCCCCCTCTTTTCTTTCTCCTTTTCTTCCTCTCTATTGAGCACGGCCTAGGGCCAGGCCCCCTGCTGGACGTGGGAGGAAATCCCAGTGGAGCAGATGTAAAGGATTCTAGTCTATTATGAGAATGTGAAGATTTGCTGCCTAAGACTGTGTAGTGTAGCAGGTTTCATGCTGAATGACAGAACTGTGGGGCCCTGGAGAGGAGATGCAAATCTAGATTCTAGGCCAAGGCTGGCTTCCGGAAGAAGAAGGAACAGCCAGGAAGGGCCAGGGGTTGTGGCAGCAGCAGAGTGCTTGGGGTACAGAAAGAGATGCTCATGGGGATACTGGAACACGGTAATGAGCTCTCCCCTTTTGTCTTCCCGGGTCTGGGAGAAGCTACAGACTCCCTAGGGTGTTGGGGGGGGTCAGGATCAGGTGCTAGCCTGACCCCTGTCCCCTTCCCCCAACGCCACGCCAACAGTTCCTGAGTGAAGGCTACGCTGCACACCTGGCTGCGCTGGAGGCCAGCCACCGCTCGCGCCCCAAGAAGAACAACTCACGGATGATCCTGCGCAAGGGCAGCTTTGGGCTGCACGCGCAGCCGGAGTTCCTGCGCAAGCGCAACCACCTGCGCAGGACCATGTCGGTACAGCAGCCCGACCCGCCGGCCGCCAACCCCAAGCCTGAGCGGGCGCAGAGCCAGCCGGAGTCCGACAAGGACCACGAGCGGCCGCTGCCCGCGCTCAGCTGGGCGCGTGGGCCCCCCAAATTTGAGTCTGTGCCCTGAGGGATGGGCGGTGCTCAGAACAGGGGGTGCAGCCAGGTGGCCTGCAGAGACGGGAGAGGCTGCCTTCTCCCTGACACAGGCGTTTTCCTGCTTTTCCCCTCCTGTGTCTATCCAGCAGTGTCCGACCAGAGCAGGGAGGGACCTTGCCCTGATTTGGGGGGCTCCCTAGGCTGCGATGAGGTGAAATCCGGGGGTTTCTGTGCAACTGCTGCCGCCTCCCCGCGCCTGTGCTCACAAGCCCGAGTCAAGGGTGATGTGTGTGTGCGTGAGACCTTGGGTCAGGCCTTCCTGTGCCTAGTGTTGGGCAAAGCCGACCATCTTTCTGAGTCTTGGGGCTTCTGTAGCCGTTCTAGGCTGGCTCTAACCAGAGACGCCCCAGCGCTGTGCAGATAGTCGCCGGCAGATGCAGCAGCTTGTCTGTGAAGGACTAAGTGTATTTGTGCCTGCTTTCCCTGTGACATACGGGGAACCACTTCCGGGCTGGCTCGCTTATGACAGAGTGATCACTTTCTGGAGCGAGAGGACGTCCCCTGGGCCCAGTCTCATGTCTGTGGAGTCTGTCCACAACCTGGGGACTGGGTTTGGTGCTGATGGCCTGTCTTGAAGCTGTCCTTTGTCCCACACTTCTTGTTCTCAGTATCCTATTCTCCTGTGGCCCTTGAAGACAGGTGTTCTTTTTCCTTGAGCCTTGTCTTGTGCCCTCCCCTGTGAGGTTGCAGCCATGGGCTCTCACCCAGTTGGGCTGGCAGTGTACCCTTAGCCTGTAGCATACCCTCTCTGGGTCCTGCTTGCTTTTTTCCTGTAATAGGAGAGTCCCCTCCGCAGCTGAGATGGGTACAAGATTTGACTCCTAGTTTAACTTGCATTTCTACCCCCCTGGCTTTTCAGAATGCCTATGGGTCCCCTCACTTCCCCCCAACTTGGGAGAGGGGTTCTAGGAGGGAGGAACTCATCTCAGAGGAAACCACTGCTTCATGGGGAACCAGCTTGTTTGTGTTGCACTGAGGGAAACAGAAAATGCCTCCTCCCACCCACAAAGCGGGGGCCACCTGGCATCCCCTCTCCATAGGTCTGCTCAGACTGACTTCTCTCTTTAGGTTTCTGGAAAGCATAGAGCTGAGATTCCAGGGTTCTGGGGTTCTTGAAAGGCTGACTCAAACTATTCTCTTCCCCTCCCTTGGCACTCAACTTGGTTTGAGCCCAGAACCTCCTCTGGGGTAGTCAGACCCCTTAGGGTGGCAGGGCCGTGCTCTCTTGGGCCCCTCAAAGCCTGCCAGGTCTCCTTGATGCAGAGCTCCTGGCCTTGGCACAGGCCTCCTCTTGCTCCCTGGCCTAGCTCACACCTGTTGTAGGACAGCCCGGGAGCCTCCCAGGCCATCTGAGGTGGGGCCCAGATATTTGTGTGCACTGCAGGCACCTGTATCAGCTCAGTGTTGCTTTTTCAATGTCTACCTCTTACAGCTCCACGCAGCCTGTGGTGGCTGCTGATGGGGGTGGTTGGCACCCTGTTGTGAGTTGCCTGGCAAACTGGGTGCCTCACTGGAGCTGGAGAGGGTGTGGGCTCCCAATACCCACCCTGCTCTCCACTCAGATGTCTTCTCCAGGCTGCCGGCTCCTGCCCCTTCACCCCTGTGGTCCCTGTCCTGTCTGCCAGCACTTCTGCTGCACCCTCAGCGCTGCATTGGGCTCCCAAGCCTGGGGCTGCCAGGGAGGCTGCAGTAAGGGAGGGACCAGCCTCAGCTTCTTCTTGTCCAGCCTCCCCACTTTGACATGTCATAATTCTTGGCTGTCTTTTGGCACCAACTCATGTGGTAGCCACTTCAATCCCAATTCTTCCCCCGAAATGCTTTTTAAGTGTGGACAGACATGGTCTGATTCTCCCACAGTCTATCATCTCTCCACACGAGCCACTGAGTTTGACTTGAGGATAAAATGTTTATCCCCTTCCCTTTCTCAGAACCCCAGGCTGAGGGTGTATGTGTGTGAGTGCACGCCCCTTTGAGTGGGAACCTCCAGGGAGATTGGAGCCAGTGACAGGGCTGTGGGTCAGATCTGGGCGGGGGGAGCACCTCTTCTTGGCTAGATGCTGACAGTGTACAGGAGGTATTGTGAACACCCTGGGAGCCGTAGCTGGCATGTGTGAACGTGTGCACCTGCAGCTGTGTTTAGTGATCAGCTCCTGTTCCAGTACTGCTTCTGCAACAACTGTACTCCACTCCCACTTCCTCTACTAGTACTTTGTTCAGTTACAGTCCTCCACTTAAGTTGGAGACAAAAAGAATTGAGTCCTGGTGTTCTCTTGAGGGGGCGCTGTTGCCTTCTCCAGTAGTTCTGTGACCCCCATCCAGCTGTTTTCTAGAGACTCCTAGCTCTTGGTGTGCCTGCTCTCCAGCAGCTGGAAACAGATCTTCCTGCTTGACCAAAGCTCCCCGTTTCTGAGTGGCATGTTTGTTCTTCCTATGTGGTGGCTGTCCCGGCCTGGCTGAGGGATGCCTGGCACCTTCCTTTAGCACTTGCCCTGTTGGGGGTTCAGGGTACACTTTTTGCCAGAGTCTGCTCTTCCAGCCTCATATCCCCCCACTCCCCAAGACTCTGAGCCCTTCCTGAAATATCACAAGATATTTTTAAAAAAGTAAATTATTTTCATGCATTCAGATGAACAGCCTTCCTGCCTGGGTGCTGGGCTACAACAAATGCATCTGAACCCCAGTATTCTGGAGACTACTGGGGTAGTTCTCTGAAGGAGGGAGGCTGTATCTGAGCTTCAAAACTGTACTTTTAGCACTCTGGAGCCCAGAGCGGTGCCCTGGAAGTGTCCTGCAGGCAAAACATGGCACCTATCTTTAATTGAAGGCTGAATCCCTCCAGACCTGTGGGCCCAGGTCTGGAGGAGGTGCCAGGCTTGCAGCACACTCCCTCAATCTAGTTCAGGTGCAGCCCTGCCCGGGAGGGGTGCCCTGACTGAAGGAGCCTCGCAGTTGACCCCGCCTTAAACAACCAATTTCCCAGCGGAATCCCCGGGGTTCCGGTGCCAAGTGCTCTGGAGAAAAAACAGTTCCTCTTCCTTTCCTTCTGGGCATGGGGGAAATTTCTTAAATACCTAAGTTAGGCTTTAGTTCAAGTAGCAAGGTCCAGCTGGGTATTATTCTCTTTGCTGAGAAACCAACAGGCAGGTTGGGAGGAAATTCAGAGCTTGACTCCACGCTCTGGGACAAAGGAGAGGTGGGGGAAATCAAGGGGGGCAGGCCATAGTGGGACAGCTAGTGCAGGAACTCCCACCCCCGTCCTTAGACCCAGACCCACTGTCCTTTCCTTTTTGTTTACTCAGTGGTGGCAGCCGGTCTGACCTTGTCTGCGGTCTGCCCGTCCCTGTGTATATCTTCAGTATTCTCTGTGATGGATGGTTCTGTGGTGGAAAAGGTTTATTGTATTCCTTATGGCTGCCTTGTACAAAATCCGTTAGAAAAGAAAATGTAAAATATCTGATTTCTAACAAGACAAAAACAGCATTATGGAGTTAAAAGATTTTTACAATTGGTCTTGATTTTGATGTGAGCTGTTTTTAACTCTCAAACGTTGTCACTTAAATAAAAAACCTTTTTTGCCTTTAAAATGTGCTTTGCTTTGGCCTGAGAAAAACCTTCCCTTTACTCAGTTTCCCCCTGAGCTAGAGTGGGAGCAGAGGGGATGGGGGATAAAAAGCTGGGCTGCAGACTTATGGCCCTGTCACCCAATGTGTGTGAGAAATATATGTATGAAAGGAGAAAAAATGCTAAGTGTGGAAAGCAAGTTTTTAATTATGAAAAAGCAACGTGATCTAGGAAACGGACACACCGGTTTCTTTCTAATAAAATGACAAAGCAGATTTCTTAAATAATTTACAAAGGGTAGAAACTGCTCCTGAACAACGTTGCCCTCCCCGCACGCCCACAGTGCCCCACACTTAGCTTATAAATAGGCTCCACGAGCCCCAGCCTGTACAGCCTGTAAACATCTCTTTCTTCCTCTGGGGCCCTGGTAGTGGGAACCAGAGATCAAAATGGGTCCCTAAGAATCTCTGCATTGGGAACACAGGGGAGGGGTTCCACGGATGACTTCTGTAGGGCCCTGTTCTTAGTTACAAGGCTTAGAACTCTCCAGCATCTTCTGGTACTTTGATACGGATGGGCAATATGAGGATAGAGTGGGTCATGAGGGCCTAAGTCCAAGGCCTGGGGGCATGGGCATTCCTCTCGCCTCGCCAAAAGTCTCCCCAAGTCACTCCTGAGCTGTGGTCAGTGGTCACTGATAGGCCCAGAGGTGGCTGAAGTCAAAGCACTCTGGACCCCATGCCAGTCAAGTTTCTTGTTAGCAGCAGCTCAGGGGTGCTGGTGACTCCAGTGTCTTCTCCCAGAAGTTCATGGGTTGGGTGGCACAGACATCCTGGTGGCGTGGTGGCTAGAGAGGGCTTTCTTCCTGTAAGACAGAGCTTCCTTTTTGTTCCTCTGTCTTCTCAAGGCAGCAGATGTGGGACATCGCGGATTGCCCCTCAAAGTGGGGGGTTTGGAAGGTAGCTTTCAGTCCTTGGGAATCACAGTGTGCTCAGGGAGTGACAGGATCAGTGAGGTTAGCAGCTTTGGTTAGCTGCTGTGCCCACCCACCCTGTGGGTTTCCCCATCCATTCAGTGCAACATGCCTGCACTTTCATGAATAGGGAGGAGGAAGAAGAAGAGGAAGAAGAAGAGGAGGAGGAGGAAGGGGAGAGACAAAGAAAATGGGTGTTGGCATTACCTGCAAGGTGCTGTCCTCAGTCACAAATAAGGGAGACAGTCATGTCACCACTAGGGATGGAGAAGGTCGGGGGGGGGGTAGATGGTGGGGTGCTGCAGGCTCTAAAGGCCTCTCAGTTTGTACTAGACAAAACTAAAACCTGGACAGTGGTGGGAACATGGACATGTAGGCCCTGCCTAAGAACCCCTTGTGGCCATTATACAAATGGGAAAGCAGCCTCCAAGGTAGGGCAGATTCAGAGCCAAGGATCTGCCCGCAGGATAGAATCCTGAGCAGATAGACTGGGACTCCATAGCAACCACGTCACTTTTGCCACATCCATGGGTGGAGAGAGCATTGAGGAGCCATAGATTGTATTAGAGGAAGGGCAGGTCTTTCAGGAAATGGGTACCCAGCCACACATGAGAGTCAAGGTGATGGATGAAGATGGGAGCCCAAGACCCGGAGGACCATGAACATCCTTCACCATCATCCCTGGAGACTGAAGCCCAGAGAGGGCAGGGACTGGCATGGGCCATATGACAGGTTGGCAATGGAACCAGCAACCTCTACAAAGATGGTGTGGTTCAAGGGGCCCATGGCCATTTCACCCTGACCCTAGGATAAAGCTCACCTCTCTTCAGCTACGATGGCCTCATCCAGCTGTTGAGATAGCTTCTGAAGATGCTGGATTCCTGCCCCCACAGGCTCTAGGTCACTGTCGGACTCACTGAGCACAAGGAGAAGTCACAGCATGGAACTTGCAAGAGCCCTGAGGCAGCAAGCCCTTTCCACCCAACCCTAGGTCCTAGGTGACCCCTGGGAGCTGGGAAAGCCTCACTGCAGATCCCCAGAGAGTGACATGTAGCCTATGAGGTTGAGGCCAAGGGCACGTGGTTTTGCAATCAGATGAGTGTTGCTGTTGCCCTTGAACCCGAGCCTCAGTCTCCCAGATGTCCTCCCATGATGCTTGGGAAACAGGGACTCCTTTTTTCCTTTTACAGATAGAAAAGGGATTTTCTCAGGTCCGCACGAGCTTTGGGGCAGACCTGGGCTAGAACATGGATGCGACAGGGTGCCCTGAAACCCCAGGTCCCATTAAGTATTTGGGGGTCAGGGAAGGGCAGTCATGCCTGGGATCAGAGACCACTTGCCTGGGAGAGCAGAGGGGCTCTGTGGAAGAGCAGGGGCTCAGAAAGGCAGCCTCTCTTCTCAGTCGCTGACGTCGGTGAGCACGTGGACCCAGCTGGCTAGGAAGGCGAGGATGTCCCCCTTCCCTGGGGTCCCAGTTGGCCCTGCACAGCCGGGTGCTCTTCTGGCTCAGGTTGGGTGGTGGGGAACCTCTGTCCTTCTGTGCTCCTCTCTTCCTCCTCGCTTTCACCTGTGTTTCCATCAGCCACTTGGTGCCACTTTGGCAGGACTCCTGGATCCTCTGTGATGGGTACATATGGGAAGGTTGACACAGATAGGACCAAGGTGAACTACCATGCTTTAAATGCGCTTGAGTCCAGGACTAGCCAGCTGTCCCAAACAGCCTGCTGCTAGTCTCAGGAGTAACAATGAATTCATGTGAGATGGAGCTGTCCCTCAGGGACCTGCTCAGAGGGCCAGGACAGGGACACAGCAGTCAGAAGCAAAAGAGCCACTCTAAATTCAAACCCCTAGGCAGAGACTAAAGCCAGAGAGTGAAGGTGGCCAGTTCCCCAGGAACCAGCTCACTTGACTTTCTGCCCTGGTCTCATTTATTCTCTACCACCTCCACCTTAGTCCACACACATCCTTCACTAGAGTTATGATCATGACACTCAACGGTTCTAACCCTTTCTACCGTGCCCTGTGGTTCATGTGGCTGAGCCTCAACTTTTGGACCTTTTATATGTGACTGGGTCAAACGATTCTGCTAGATTGTCTTTGCTTGGCCAAACAAGAGCCCAGAAATTGGAGCAAGGCCCAATGTAAGTTTGACGAGTTGGGTGACCTTAAGCAAGATGTCACATTTCATTTCTCTGAGCCATAGACGCTGAAAGCAATCTTAAGGCTCTTCTAGATCAGAGCTAGACTTTGGCTAGGAGACCTATCCACAGTTGCCAGAAGCCGCTGCTCTCTCTGCACATGGTCAGAAGACCAAGTAAGATGCCAAGGAGACCCACCCCCTTCTCTCCTTGGATGTGTGTTCACTCTCAAGGCTCTGTGCTTTTCAGGTGACACGTGCCCACATAGTCATCTCCAGGTTGAAAGTCGTAACTCGCCAGGAAGATAGCTCAGCAAGTAGGGGCACCAAATCTGATGACCATGTTTGATCCCCAGAATCCACATGGTGGGAGAGAACCACCCCTCCCCCACGCAGGTTGTCCTCTGACCTCCACTGTGGCACAAACACCCCACCCATAAGTAAATGGAAAGTTTAAAATAAATAAATATTAAAAAAATAAGACATATCTGCTTAGAAGGCACCTTGTGTCCAATATAATCCTTCAAATTCACTTTCTGAGCTGCTTGGGAAGTTGCACTCTTCTGCAAGCCCAACCCCACAAAAGCTGTCTGTACTCTGCCTTCCCACCATGTAGCTCACTGCAAAGTTCTAATAATCTGGGAGAATCTAAATGGGGTCAGCACACAGGGTCTTCCTGCTCTGTCCTCAGAACTGAGAGGAAAAACCAAGATGCTGAAGAGAAGGGGGTTCACCCTAAGTCTGGATTCACTCCATTTCACTGGTCCCTGGCCTCCAAGATACCTCCCCTTTCTGGCTTAACTTCAAAGAGTTGTCTCCTCTGGGAAATCTTTACACACCAAGCTTGAGACAGGTATTTCCTTAGCTGTCCATTCTCTATCACAGCACATGGCAGGTCACTTTGCATGATGAACATCAATTAATTCCTCCATGACCTTTCTCATTCACTTACTCAACTAATTGTTGAGCATCCATCACGTGCCAGGACTATGGGTGCTGGGGGAAACAGCAATGAACTAGTTTGATGCCAGGTCCTCATGGAGTCTATATTTGGGGGTAGGAAATGCAGGCACTAAAGGACAGACACCCTCCATAAAGAAATGGTTAGTGGTGTCATTGTTACCTGGGACACAGCACCCAAGGCGCTTTTGGCTGAGCGAGCTGCAGCCTGGAGGCCCTGCTGTTCTGGCTCTGGAGTTTCCAGGCGTTTCCAGGAGGGGCCAGCCCCGAGGTTGAGGCTGACAGCTCTCAGTGGCAGCCTCCTTTGGAACTGTCTGCACAGGGATCCCAGGGGGCCGGTCTCTGGATGGCTCACAGCAGACCGGGTCACCTCCTCCAGCTGCTCCTCCTTCAGGAGTGATCGCCTGCGCACGGAGGCCCTCAAGCCCTGCCACTGAGACGCCATGTGCCTGGCCCAGTCTTCTCCACCAGATCCTGGAGAGGTCAAAAGGTCATCAAGGCCTATTCCCAGATTCCAGAGATCCTGGGCATTGGGGAAGAGATGGGGTGGAGTCCCTCGGGATGGGTCTTTTGGGCAATCGTGGCTACCAGAAGGAGGACCAAGAGGTCGTGGTCAGCTGCGAGGTGCCAAACCTGTCTTTCCATCCCAGACCCCTTTCCCAGTCTTAGAGGCTCTGCGAGCCACTGTGCTTACCCTGGGCACGGTCAGGACTCTCACAAATTCACCTTGACCAAGTGCGCTCCGGGTAAATCCCGGCCGCCCCACGAGGGCCTCGGATCCGATGGGGCGCTTGCAATGCCC